AAAAAAAAAAGTAAGTTTCACCTTACACCTCATTTTGCTAAAGATCCCACAATGTAACGCTACTTTCCTCCTACCTCGTGAGATAATAGGCACGCACATTAGCGTTATGCAATACCACATCTGTCGGTGGGGACTCATTAGCGTCCAAAAACTCAAAGTCCTAGCAGGAGTAAATAGCAGATGAGTGAATGAGGGAGCGCTTACAGTCACACACTCTGTGTATGATTGTGAGTGAGCAGGAGTGTGGATAGTAATTAGTACACAGGTGCGCAGCCTCTCTCCGTCATCTGCTCGCACTGAGCACGACCTTTGACCCACTGACTGTTGACAGCTGGGCAGCGTTTCCATAAACCCTCTTTATAACGATGAGTTCTCGGAGAGGCGTGGTGAGCCTTGACGTCTCTGTGAACTTTGCGGGGTTTGTAGAAAGCAGATGGAGGTCTGGGATCTGCAGGAGTCTAGCAGATAATAGATCCGAGAGACTTTCCTCTCAGAGCTGAAGCACTCTCAGAACAGACAGCAGTGTGGAGCGAGGATGCTTTGATCATTTTTGATGTACTGGGTTGTAAGTTTCCCATAAAAGAACTCAACTACAAATCTATAGACTTTAAATCGATGGCGCTCATTACATTTATACTTATTTTTGCATGCTGCCTACGGATTTTTGGATTGTCATCCAGGTTCCACTCACTTTGAAATTCACTGAGCAAATGCACGCACCTCAGAGGACAGGGCACAGCTCGATCTTTTCTCATGCACCACTCTCATGCATATTTTAGATCCTAATAGGAAAATAATAACAACATTTTATTGAGCAGGTTCGTGCCTCCCAGGCTAATGAATCTTGTCGACTACTCTACTCAGAAAAGAAAGTGTTTGCTGTTAAGAATATAAAATAACTGAAAGGTTTTGGGGAGTGCCTTAATCACACTCCTGGAAACTCTAAAGGAGTTCTGTGTGATATAATAAAAATATTTCTGGACTCAACGAATGATTTAGTATATATATATTTTGTTGGAACTTGCTCATGTAAATTTACATTATATATAATGTAAATTTACATGAGGAAGAAGGGATCTTGTATGTTGTCTTAAACAAGTAAAAGCCATTCCCAGTATACCTGCCTGGATGTATAACTGCAGCTTTTAATGTGTCATTTTTACCCAGTATTGCAGTTTGTTGGCAGAGTCTGCTGCCACCATGTGGTGTCTCTGTGTCATTAACCAGCAGGTTTTGATAGCTGAATTCTCACATTCAGAAAAAATAGTTCCCCAAACTGCCCCCTTTTTTTCTGGAGTCTCTTATTATACTAACTGGCAATTATCTGATATTGTAAATCCAATTTTATTGTGTTATCTTGTTGTCTTGCGTGAAATGCACTCTCACCACCTCCCCGTCTTCCCTCAGGTTTGTGGATGGGATCGAGACAGAAAACCAGAGCGGTTCAATTCCGAGATTTGATTTTTCTCCCAGTGCAACCCAGAGCTTTCTGCCCGGCCCGGATTCAGCCACCTCAGGTAAAGAGCAGGAAGAGGAGGTGAAAACTAATGCACAGTAATACTGACGGTTTTTGATGGATAGAGCCTTTGTGAATATTATGTTGCTACTGAACAACATTCGTTTATATGGTGGATGTTTTTGTTATTGTGTCCAGCTCACTGGGTATCAAACTTCTGAAGGCCACATTTTTACATCATCCTTCATACCAGCTTCCAAAGTCCTGATTCACTCAGAGTTAATGCACTGTGTGTAAGTGTGTATATCTGTGTCTACAGGGGCCCGGGATGAAACCATGCAAACCATTACAAAGCTTAAATATGAGGTAAGGCTTGTTATAGTGTCATGAAAAACAAAACATTTTTTCAGCAGGCTCTTAATCTGTGGTTAC